CGTCCATCGTCTATCGTCTATCGTCCAGAATCCACCGTCTGGGTTTTAGTACATGCCAAGCCAGTGCATGCCTTTTTCAGTTAATTAGTACTCAACGTCTGCCATCTTTAGGTAAGACATGATTCACCTGCAGCCAACCGCAGCGCATGCAAATGCTCAGAGCGGTTATGACGTAACAAAAGGCTTGTGCAGGATGTAAGGATCACTGACCCTCGTAATAATCGTAACATAAACAATAGTGTGTAGATTGCACACAAACTGTGTATCAAGGGACCTTATTATATTATTCTTATGTCGCTAAATCTTCAATCGTACCTCAAATTCTCAGTCAAGCTGCTTCCTATCCCGTTTGGGGGCCACTGGTCACCGTTATAAGACGTGAAAAGAACTAAAATGATAAAAGAACTATGTTGCAACGAGCCTTTCAGCAAGCTCTCTTGCCAGTTCTTAAAGTAGGTGGCGGAGAGACTAGCCCTACACTTAGTTCTGCCAGGAGAGCTTGCTTGCAGAATACACTCTTTTTTTATGAAAGAACGTCTAATTTTGTGGAACTGAGGCTAACGTTCTTATATACTTTTGGCGATTTGAGGCTGAAAACGTTCTTTAGATGTTCTTAAATTTACATGGTATACATGGTCAACTACCTTGATAGACTTTGTATCGCCTGATGACTTTGATGGTGCTAGTTATTACAATTCGAAATGTGTGTCATGCAATAAGAAAACCATTGTTAATGTTATACAAAACATGCCCTCAAGCATTTGGGTTAATTTAATATCTTTTGTTGCCTTTTTTATGCTTGTCTTTTAATAATATACCGATTAGCAAAACAAAAAAAGTTCTTAATCGACTCTCAGCCTGAGGAATTCTTAATACCTTCTTAAAATTTTGGTCAATCTCTGCCTGAACGCTCTTATAAATAAACGGCACGAAATGCATGCAGAAGCGATGACGTTTAAAAATTGTTCCTAGAAGATTGGAACGTGAGCAGACAAACTGATTCTTAAACTTTTGGGTTAGAAATTTTAGGGGTTTACATTTAGGGTAGTCCATTGGTGGTTCATTCAAGTAGTTCATGTACCAGGTCCATCTTGTTAGTCCATGTGCTAGGGGTCAGCGAAATGTACCAACCCAAGTAAAAAGCACTCCGCTGAAAAGTTCCTCTCTCTGAAATCAACACCTTATTTATTCCTCACCTCCAGGATTTCGCGCGGCCATTTTTTTCTCGCGGTTTTCTTTCGCGTCACGCACGACGGACTAAGCAAAAGAGGGACTTCTCGTAGTGTAAAACCAAAATAACTACCCTGGCCAATCACTGAAAGGACGCAGGCAATCTAGTAAACCACTAGATTCGAAGTAAAAACACGAAGCTGACGCGAAGCGCGAGAACTTTTACGGGAGAGTTAGGATTGGTTTTTGTCAGTTACTTCTGATTAGATGACAGAGGCGGTGGAGCGAGTGTTTCTTTTCCACCACTTAGCTTAGTGAGGCAAAACCAAAGCAAACATATATGGCGAACGCAAACTAACTTTCCACGCTCAAGTGAAAACCGCTCGGTACGTCTCACCCGTATAATTCATCTAGGTATCAAACACGAGATGCATCAAAGAGACGAACTTGTCCGAACTGTGAAACCTCTTAGTCAAAATCGACAATCAAGCGACCAAGAGTCTTTCTCACATTGTACCCAATCAATGGAACTCCGTTAATCTTTGCTACCGACGGGCCACAATTATCTGGCCGGGCTGGCAGTAAAGGAATCCTCCATAAGGAAAGGGCTGACAGACCTTTTGTTCGAGCCAGAATAAGGTGTCCGTAGTAAATGGGATGACCGAATTAACGGGGCGGGCTTGCGCTCATTATTTGTTGAGGGATAGGTGTTTGTGGCACTCACCGGGAATTCCCCCTTTCTTGCGGGAATACCCATCGTTTCTACCGAAGCCTCCCCACTCTTCAATTACTGCGCCTTTCAATAACATGCGGACTCTAAAATTCGAAGCTCAACCGACAAATGCGTTTTTCGCTACCGTCAAATCAAATATTCGGCGGCTCCTCCCAGCTTCCGACTACTGCCGAGCGTGAGGTAATCAAATCGTTGAGTACAGTTCACACAACGAAACAGTGTTCGGCAGTAGTCGGAAGCTGGGAAGAGCCGCCGAACATTTGATTGACGGTAGCGAAAAACGCATTACATTTGTCGGTTGAGCTTTGAATTTT